CAAATATATTGATATCCAAAATTAAAGTCTGAATTATAATTTTTGTATTTCATGAAAACTACTGAATAAAATATAATATTTGTATTGCATATCCAAATTCACTTGAGAGACATATCGAAAAGCAAAAATCAACAAATAGCAAGTTAAGTTGTCTACATAAACCTGGTCAATGTGATGAGCATTCCTGAGAATGCAAGAAATTTTCCATTGCATGCAAATATGCTCTATGCTTTACACATGAGCGCACAACTCAATTTAATGGAAAACTATAGAACGACTTGAAGCTGAACAATCTGAAGCCCAAACCACAAGGAAATTTAATATCCATCCTAGAATAGTTTCACGGCTGCAGTTAAATGAGTCGGGTGGTCATTCAAAAAGACCTGGCCAAGGTTGTCTAAGGAGCACAATGCCAAGTGAAGGCCATTATTTAGCTTTAATCATAAAACACTTCTCTAAGAAACTTACATTATACTTGTAATGAATAAATGCATCATGGCAAATCATATATTGTAGGCTTTATAATGCTGGCCTTTATGGCAAGAGATCTGTGATTTGTATACCTCCTCTCACAGTAAAGATTGTTTGAATTTTAGTAGACATTATCATTCTTGCAGTCAAGATCAGTGGCGTGGCAAGGGGATGTATCATGCACCGGGCATCACTCGCAGAGAGGTGCCCAAATGGTCTCCAAGACAAACTATATGTGTTTCTGGAAGGGAGTGCCAATAAAGTGTCGTTCCCCGGGCGCCAGTTATGTTTGCTACACCACTGGTCAAGATGACTGAATCTGTGTTCTCTTTAATTAATTAAAGATTAGTCAAGATTCTGTTTACAGGCTGATTCTAGTCACCATAATATGGCATTATGGTAAATGGCTGTACGCCCCTCTATGCATTCAAGAGGCAATATGAATGCTGTACAGATCTTGCTGTTCTATATCAGGCTTTCTGAGGAAGCTGTAGACCCTCATTTTCTTGTAATGGACAATAATGTTCAATCTCTCAAGGTTTAAGTTGTTAACAAGCTCCTAGAAAACAAAGATATTTGTAGGATAGACTGGTCAATAGAGCTTGGGACTAACTGGTAAAGCATGTTGCAATTTATCATCCTCACTCAGAATGCTTCATAAATTAAGAATGGTCCTCATCGAGGAATGGGATTCCTTAAACTAACAGATTATAAATGATGTGGTTAAGGGTATGTCTTGCTGTTACCAGTCATATATCCAATAAGAGATCAACATAGTCTGCATGAAATGATTTTATATTAAAATATCAAACCTCAAATTTGAAAGTTTTGAAGATATGACCCAGTATATGAAAACTGTATACAGTTTTTTGTTGTAATAAAATATATATTATCTTTATGATCTTTGCATACAGCATATTCTACTTGAAATTTACTTGTTCACATAACTGGATCAATAACTATAAGAAAGTACTCAAAATTTTGATAATTCCAGTAAATAATTTAATGTAAATTCAACAAATATTGGTCAAAATAGTTTGTCAAATTTACATCAAATTATTCACTGGGATTATCAAAGTTTTTGAATATTTAGTTAGCATTAAATTACCTAACAGGAAGTAGAAAATTATCTTCAAAAATATCTTTCGGACTTTAATTTTAGACACCAGCGTAAACATACCTTCAAACTGACAATTCTGTTATTCAATCGCTAATAGTTATGAAAGAAAGAATTTAACTCTTATTTTCAAATACACAAGAATTCTAAAGAAATTCTTTATTAATACATGTCTGCTTGATCTCAAATTGAAAGAGATTTTCTAAAATTTGCTAGAACAGCTACAAAATTTGCTATAGTCTGCTAAACTAAAAACACTTCTCCAGATAGATAAAAGTTAAACTTAAAGTAACATATTTTAAAGTGCACTTTAATTAAATTTCAAAACATTCAATAGTTGTATTAATTTTTTTCTATCCAAATTGCAAGATTGTTTCATCAATATTGTTACAGAACAATGGGAAATTGATTTATTTAATAACAATGGGGAAATTGATTTATTTTACAACTTTGTCATCATTGACTAATATTAAATTTGTGTTCTTTTACCCCATGTAAAGGTTTTAATAGCATCTTAGCATATGTTTATAAAACATAAGTAATTGAAAGAGACTTACCTGTATGTGTTAGTCCTTCCACAATATTCAAACACACTTCTAGAGGAAGTCATGTGATAAGCACCTTGCGATTTATTACTCCTAAATTGTACCTTGGTAGGTGACGATAAATTAATATCGGGAGAATCGTTGTGATCCATTTTGGCACAACTGTCATCGAAGGTGTTAGTTTTGCAGCCTTTGACTGTCGGCATTCCGTGGTTAAAAATATTTTGCACGTTATGACTATACGAAGATTGGCGCGTGCTGAAACTTTGGGTACAGTTCAGAGTTCGTACTTCGTTCTGGGTTAGTTCCGACGTGTCGAAACTATTACCTGAATCCCTGCCACTCTTTCCCGGATAAAAGTACATGCTGGAGGGTCGAGGAAAATTTGTAAAAATGTGACCATTTTCTTCCAATAATTCGGCGAATCTCTCCTGGTTTTCGCGAACGAATTTGGTAAATAAATCGTCGTCTCCGGCCGAAAATCTATCTTGAGCTTCTTTCAGTAGTCTAGTAGCATCTATGGGACTGGAATCGCTGACTCCCCTCCTCCACTTCTGATTCTCTTGACGCATTTGAGAGAACCATTCTTGAGTCTCTTGCATTAACTTGGCGATTCTTTCACGCCTTTCTTCTTCTAATTTGGCTTTTTTATCATCCATACTTCTAGCATCTCTCTTCAAACTATTATTGAGTGAGAAGCCGACCAATTTGACATTTTTCTCGTTGTTAGGAGGAATTTCGGGTAGCCACGGAGATATCCTACCATTGACAGTTATCGTTAGAGGTACGAGTGTTTTTTTGGAAGATGTTTGATCACAGTTGGTCGAGAACGACACCAGATGAACATTCTCGCTTTTCGTGGATGATAAAGCGTCCATTCTTCCGATAGCAGCATCGACGCGTTGGGATAGGAACCAGAGGTTGAGAAGACAATTCAAAAAATCTGTAACAAAGCAACATAATCATAAATAAAATGAGAAAAATCTATCTTTAATGCTTCAAGATGCTTTTTACATTCTAAAAATAAACGTCGTGTTGTACATTTACTTACAAAAAGATTCAAGATTATTAGAAATAAATATGCAATTACTGATCATTAACCGGATCTAATTACGTTTTTGAAGAGGAAAAATCCTGACGCAAAAGAAAGAAAATTAAGATCAGCGTGTCAAGTTTTTAAATCCGCAACTGACAGAAATACATTAAAAAAAAATTATTTATATAGGTTAACACAGTATTGATTTCCAGTTTAGGATACTTATCATTATCGGATCTTAAGAAGGGGCGATTTTAATTACGTTTGCTCGAAATATTTTAATATTAAAATACCAAAGGTTAACATAGTTTTGCGGGAAGTAATTATTAAAAATCTATTAGAGCATCAATAAAAAAAATATATACATAGATTTTATTCAAGATCGAATGATAATTACCGTAAGTTTCAAAAGAACTAGTACATCCAGTAATGTTACGAAGTGCATATGAGTATAGAATATTAACTAGCCAATTGGAATTAATTACAGTCGACCCCCTATAACACTGTTGATAATTCCGTTTTATATGAATTCCGTGTTATACGAGTCACTTAGATTTTATAAATACGTGTGCCGGGCTGTGAACGGCTCACGTATTTGTAAAATTTAAGTGACTCGTACAACACGGAATTCATATAAAGCGGAATTATCAACAGCGTTATAGAGGGTCGACTGTATTCTAAAAATCGTGCGTACAGTGCGTATTTATTACAACATTAAATTATTAACGCCCATTTTGCGAAGCTCATTAATTAATATAGCCAGGCCCGTTCTTTTGTAGTTTCGGTTGTTAAATGATTGATATATAGAGCTAATGTTTATACTAATAAAGCAGTTAACTTCTTTATTACCGTGCTACTGTAAAAAGTTACATTTTTCACACCGAAATTTGATATTATAAAAATATTTCCGATCTTAATCTTCATACTTTCACTTTCGCATTCGCCATAAGCCATATATTTTATTTAAATTAATTAAAAATATTTACTTAACCGATTACCGATAAGTTATAAAATAAAATTCTACACTTTTTAATACGTGATTTAAAAGATAAATTCGAAAGTTATGATACGTTAGGTTATATAAAACGCAAAGAATCTCCGAAAAAACTGGGTCAAGTATCGGCGAATTTTTATCTATTCCATAACTGTTATCAATATAACTACCGCTTTTAAAACTTTAACGTTTAATATAGATGCCGAAATATGTATCAAACAGGAAACAAATCTTCCAAGGACGTAACAAATGTTATTACTACGTAGAAAAGTAATCACATCCGATCGTCCTATAGGGATTTTTATCGGGATAAGTCGGACTCTCCACAGTAAAACTCGCATAATAATTCAATCACCGTTTGGTAAAACTAATCGAATTGGGTAAAATCGGGCCGACATTCAAACATAATTAAGAATGACATCACGAACACACACACAACTGTCGCAGTTTCCTATATAGAAGCCCATCGAGTGTAAATGACGGCATCACGTTTGCGTTTAAAAAAAAGTTATAACAAAGCACGTGATTCGTTGGCGGTGACAGAAAAAAGAGCGTAAAAATAGAAAGAGATCGGTAAAGACTACAGTTAAATCGACTTACCTCGAAATGTAGTAAAATGGAAGACATTAGTAACCCTTTGACACATAAGACGACAAACGGACACCTACCACGAGACATAAGACGATAAATTTAGAACGCGACATGCGCATTGGCAGGAACCACATTGGGTCTTCCAAAACTTAATGAACCGCCTTTGGCCGCGATGAGTTGGTGACACTCCGTTGACGTCACAAGTTCTTATAAACATTTTTTTAAAAGGATTTTTACACGTACCACTCGAAGCGGTTATTCCATCAATTACGATAAATAACACGGATAAATGGGATAATATCTGACGTCATCGATTTCATTCATAAAGGCTGTTAATTGCCTTTTATTTTTAATTCGAGACATTTCTTTCTTTATTTTTTTATTTCTATATTATCCACACGTACAGTACCAGCTTTTTTTTTTTTTTAAAGAAAAACGACCGTTTAATCATTCATTTGTTAATGTCCTA